CCTAGGAGCTGCCGTGTGGAACAATGGTGATTCCTGCTCGAGACCTGCACAGCCACTTTTATAGGGTTTTTGGAGTTCTGCAAATGAGACTCTGTAGTTCTAGAACTGGTTTTTGGGATGTCCCTTTTAAAGTCTAGAACTGAGTCAAACAATCTATCACAATCATTTGATGGTAACCTGAGGGGGGATCCAGGCTTAAGGCCGGTAGATGAAGCTGAAGAATTTGAAGGTTTTATGCCGTTTATTAGTTGTGTGAAAAGTTCATCACTAATGGTCACTTTGGTGTTTAATTTTACCCAGCCCTGATTAGAGGGAATTATTGGTGAGTTCTGCTCTGGAGATGGCGGGTTCACAGGAATAGGCTGTCCAGCGGAGTCCAGATGCACTTCCAGGTCGATGGTGCGAGTGTGGGGCAGGATCATTCTCTTACGCACAAACTTCTCTCCTCCAAGGAGGTCTTGAAGAGACGATTCTGCTTCCAGAACTTCTAATTTCTGGCATATTTCCGACTCTGCAAACTTCCACAGCATTTCTGCCACTTCTTCTCTTAACTCAGAACTCAACCGAGGGCCAGTCCACTGAGGTACTTCCATAGAAACAGCACCGTCTAATGTAAACAAGTCTCTTCTTAGATCTAGATGGTGTTTTTTCAGTACGAAGTTGACAAACTCAGGGGTTAAAGCAAATGCAACAAGATCTTCTGGGAACTGAGAGATGAAAGCCAAGCCTAGAAGACCAGTAAGCAGGTGCTCTGGGTATCGCTGGAATTCAGCTTTCYTTTGCCTCATGTTTTCTGTGAGGCTTGGATAAAAAGCTGGACTCCGACTGGGGAGAAACTGAAACTTGCCAAAGGCCCATAAGAGTTTGCACGAGTCTTTACTTCTGCATTGTGGCACAAGAGAGGGAACTGTCTCAGCGATAGCATTTAGGATGCCGTCATTGCGATAACGAAGAGCAGAACAAGTCAAAGTGATGTGCATTAGCCCGRAGACGTTCATCCTGTTGGCCCGGCGAGGAACTTCCTGTGCCATCGCGTCCAGCCAATCTCTGTGAGAGAGGTAACTAAAACGCAGGTATTTCATCACATTCACCACTGCAAAGTCGCTCATCTCAGTCACATAAGAGAGTGCACCATCAACAATACGTGTCACTGCATCCTCACTGATTGAGGTTTGGGACTTGAAGAGGCCCAGACACGCAGTTCCGATCTCCTCGGGGTACAGCTGAGGTAAAACACGCATCAGAAGTTGCTCTAATGGATGCATCAAGTCTTTTGGACAGTGCCTGCCTTCTCCTATAATATACAACAGATGTATCGCCTCAGAAACTCCCATTTGTCCCAGATGTGGGCGAACCAGTTTGTAGACGTGTTGTAAAAACCCTGGCACCTGCCTCCTGACGCAACTCCACAGGTCGGCAGCAAACAACAGCTGATGTAAACTCACATGGTTGGCTCGCCTACTCAGCTCAAACTCAAGCGCCTCCAGCACACTGTGAGAGAAGGGAATCTGCAGCCACACAAAGGACTGC